AGTCAAGTTAATCGAGTAAGAACCTACAAGCCGGATTGAGTAGATTGCGACATTTGTTTGCAATGTTCGTGGCACATGACTGTTCCATTTGCTTGGCGGTGGGCAACTTCTGAATCTAGGAGCTCATCGCGGTGCAATCGACATTTCAAATAGTATACGAACCATTGCATAAACCTCCACGACAACATTGAAATCCACTGGGAGGTTTGAAAACTGAACATGTTCAGCAAACGTCAACTGGCGAATGCGAACTGGCTGATGTGCTAGTAAGGAAATCGGACCAGTCGCTTCCACTTCTGCGCCACACTTGAGAAGAATCAGAAGCGCATAAGATGCATCTGAAACTTGCCAATTAGTCAACGTTTGCAACTTAAAGAGCCAGATAATTTTGAGACTTGCGCGCCCTCTCAAGTGAATGGGTAAAGAAACGAACCTTGATCATACTGCCGCTGACAGAAACTTCGATTCAGATGCACTGTGATATTCGAGATTGTCATCGTACCCCGTAGATCTCGGCTGACAGGAGGAGGCGGATTGCGTACGGCTGCGAGAGCCGAGATTCGATTAACCTCACATCGTAAAAGTTCCAGACGCTCACGTGCCAGCAGGAGAGTACGCTGTGCCGACAGCTGAACAACAGTAGTCGTGACAATCGGCCGTGTCTGACCATTTTATGATCTACGGACTACTGGACCTCACTCACTTTGATCGGTTGTGTGAAACCGATTAAAGTGATTGAGTTCAAGTACTTTAATCGGTGTGTGAAACCAGAATTTTTGCTGGGGGTTCTTCCGCGAAAGGCCAGAGAGCAGAAAAACCGGACTGTGGCTGCCGAGGCATCAAAATGTGTAAGACAGATTTCTTCAGCCAGGGCATGAGCATTTTCTAGAGGAAGGAGAATCCGTTATGGATGAGCCGCCAATCATGCGATAAAACTCCAGAATGTGAACATTCACAGAACACCGTGCAGACGTGAGAGTGCAGAGAAACAGGAAAGTAGATACCATTAAGATCGATCTGTCCATGGACCCCTTAATCGCGTCGATCATCTGTTTTTTCCCTCCACGCGACCGTTTA